CTGCTGAACACATTTCCCAAAGGAAACCAGTCTGTTGCCTAAGTGCAAAAGCAAACCCGGGAGCTCTGGGTTTGGTTTCTGAAGTGAGCCCTTAAATTCATCTCATGTGATGATCCAAACAAGAGACTGACTGACACTACCCTCTCTTTAAACTGCAAGGGACAGATCCTCACCGCACATAAACTGATCCAGCAACTGTTTGTGGTTACCAAAGATCTTCAGTTTAAACAGCGCCAGGTAGAAAGTGCAGATTAAGAGATTTTTCAAAGTACTTCTCTCCCTCCTTCAGGAGCACACATATACCACTCGGCACTGCTCAGGACTAAGAAAATCAAACGCTCATAAAGACTTTTAAATTTCAACTTACCTGCAAGGCCCATTCTTTCTCATAACAACTAAGTACTTTATTCATTCTACTACACACACAGACATCTACTCAGGCAACAAGGACCTTTTTTGGGTGCATATGATGTCACACATCTCTACTTTCTCTCATATGAATTTATACACTAAAAATAATTTCAATAATACTTCTGCTGACACCAACAATACAGGAAATACACTTCAGACAAGATCAGAGCTAAAAAAGAAATCCAAATGAATAACACTGCAGAAAAGTTAAACAATTTGGAAATCTTTTCCAAAGCCAAAGGAATAAAATATGGTCAATACAATCACACAGCCATTCTGTAAATGAAATATTTCCTGGTGTCTTGGCCCCATGTCAATGGCCCCATCTTGCGTCCCAGTTATTTTTAAAGCAGGCTTTGCACAGTAAATAAAGGATGGAGGTGGGGAAGAGAAGGGAAAATAACCCCACCAGTCTCCTCTTAGGAAAATAAGACTTAATTAAAAAGTCTGCTATTGCTCTGCACTTAATTAGGGCTAACACAGCTGTTAATAAGTTTCTGATTGATAGTAAACCTGATGTCTGCACAGAAAACTACTTACTTGGTTCAAAGATGCTGATAGTTTCATACAGAAAAAAGATTCTGTTTTGTAATTGTGCATAATGTTAATATTTGAAACATCCTTAAGGGTGATTGTACCTATTAAAATTTCATATGTGAAATGAGAAATAAATGAATTGGTGTTGCATTTTTAAAGGATCAGATTACTGTTGATTAAAGCTTTGTCTACACTTGAAATTTCCCAGTAGAACAGCTCTACTGGTGGTTGTAATAATAGGAGGACAAGCAGAGATAGGCTGCCAGCAACCGCTATTTAAATTACAATATCATACAGACCTGATCTGTATGGGTTATAAAAGACTGTGGTTATAATGTGACTATAGCAGTTACTACTGCCAACCCAGCTACTGTTACTGAGCATGTAATAGAAAAAAATGGAACAAAAAGCCAGTATAGAAGCAGTTGGAAAGTTAGTGTTTGTCAGTTAAAGCCGAGATACAGATCGGAGTATTTATCCACAACATGGTGGTCTGAATGCTACCACGAATTCTCACCCTACCTGAGAAGTTAAATATCAAGCAATAGAAAATGAAGAGGAAGATGAAGTGGAAGGACAGAGCAAGAGAGGGAAAGATGAGTAAAATGATTTGGAAGTAGAGGAAGGAAGCTTTTGAGGATAGTAAACTTCATAGAAATAGGAGGGAAGAGGAATGGGCCTCTAGAGAAAAAGGAGAAATAAGAAATTCCCATGCAATCTACTTTTAATTTTTCAATAGCCCTCCTCCATGTAGCAAATACAGTGAAGAGACTAAAGTAAGCTCTGAGGGTTGAAAGGGAAACACAGAGAAAAGCCACATCAAAAGGAGAAACAAGAAAGAGATTTGAGGAAGAAGAAAAGAAATCTTTTGACAAATGAAAAAAATCAACAGAGAAAATGTAGGTATTGAAAAGGAGTAAAAAAGGGCATAAAGAAAAAAAGAGGATAAGGAAGAAAAAGGAAAAATGCATGGAGCTTAATGTAAGAGCTCTGTTTTGTTTAACAAGAGGTTTAACACTAGGAATCACTGGTATAATGAAAGTTCCTTCTCCAGCCTTTGAGAAGATGATGTTCTACTCTTCTGCATTTCCAACGCAAGCTCAACTGCTTGGCACCTCCCAAATGCTTCCATGCACAAAGTCTGTCAATATCACCTTTGAAATACATCCAGCCTGTATCCTAATTCCTCACCCCCTTCTTTCCCTGACACAGCTCAGCTTTGGGCAGGAGGCAGGTTACAAGTCGTGGATCTGACAGGCTGCTGCCTTCTTTCATGTCAGCCCCACAGCCCTCCACTGTGCATGATCAAAACGCACTGATATGTCAGCGTGACACTGGACATACATGAGACTTACACAGGCCAATGTAGATCGTACACCTGGTCTGTGGCAAAAACCATGAGGAGTTGTGGAAACAGAAATTTTGTACCTAGGCAAAACAGAACAACATACAAAATAAATTCAGGAGTGCAGAGGAAAGGAAAATTAAATCAGAACAGGTGAGATCAAAGTCAAGTCTGTTGAGGACCCAGCCACAAAAGGTGCGCTCTTACCAAAATACCTTAAGATCGACAGAGCTGGGAGATGATTTAATACCTCAGGATAGGAGAATGCACCCATGACAAGTAAATAGCTCACTCTCTAAAGGTAAATTATACTTACTGTGTTCTGCTAGTGCTGTAAAAATGACATAATCCTTTGATGTGAAGTAGTGCATTTTCAAGCTTCCTTGGTTCAAAAGAGCAGGGCTGGTAGAAAATGTCAGCATGTCTGCTGGGCTTCTGAAAATTTTGTCTGCATTACAAAAAAAGTGCGTCTGATAAAAGAATGCCAGCACCCTCAATACTGTGCCCCATCATGGAAAGAAGTTTTCTGCTAATGCAACTGCAGTGATCAGGTAGGACTGCCGCGAGGGTGGCTAATGATGCAGCCACTGTTTTAATAGTGAGTCCAGACATGCCCTTCAACTGACTGTCTCACTAAATGAAAAGAATGAGCAGTGTCAGTTAATAGCCGAGGAGATAGTTATTCAGGCCACAATCTGACCTAACATTTTGGTGTCATGAGAAGCAGAAAGTAGTCTGGACTTTGTAAAAGAGTTGAACCACATCAAATAAAAACAGTGTGACTATTAGAGCTCAATATGTGAAGTAGACTTTGCTACTGTGTAAGTGCACAACAGAAGAGAAAGAAAGGACAACTTCCTGCTTAAAGTGAAATTCTTACTGAATTCTGTCAGAAAAGTATAGAAATCAATGACTTTCTTACACTCACTGCATTTTGTAGAACGCACCTTTTGTGCCCAGCTCCTCAACAGACTCGACTTTGATCTCATCTGAAAAATGGAAACCAGAAGATTAATACTCCCCAAAAGGTGCCTGATTATACAGACAGCTATGTTCTTCAGTGAGAATGAGAGTGATATATTACCCTTTCAATATTATATGATGTCAAAAAGCTCTTACTTAGTTTACTGTAAATAAGATCTCTCAAAGTTTTCCCATACGTACAGAGAAAGATTTTGCCCCTGTAATAGAAATACTTCACACCTAAATAAAACCAAGGCTGTAATGATTGTAAGAGGAATTACAAGATTATTGTGGAGATCAGAAGATATTTAAGTAGTTGGTGTCTCCACAGACTGATATTCGCAGCAGAATTGCTTGAATAAGCTGTAACATGAAATGTACATATATTTAAGGAAATATTTTCAACCAGCCAGGAGTGTGTGTATTTTGCTCAAATCATGTACCACAATGCCAGTCTACTGGTAAGGACTGTCCTTAGAGAATGGCTTTGTCTTTGGAACAGTAAATCACATTGCAATTTACACATACGTATAATAAACCTAAGCTTAATGGTAGCTCATCCTTTTGAAAATGAAGATTAATTAACTTATAAAGGCCGTTACTCTAACACCTGTTTTATTTAAAGAATTTAATCAACACACCAGAAATTCAGTAGCGAGAACCACAGCAATTCCATTGTACTTAAAAATATATTTCCTATTCGTCAAGCTTAAAATAAGTCCTGCTTAAAAATAAGCAATTGACAGCAATCTAAAATAGCAGTAACAAATTCCATAGACTGAAGCACTTGTGCTATAACGCCTCAAGCAAATTTATAAGCAATTTCCTAGAATATTCTCAGAGTGTAAAGCATGCAGTAATCAGGAGTCCCTATTACAGATTCTGACCTCATTTTTTCCCCCTAAATGTTTGTGACAAAAGTAAAGAAAGTAAATGCAAGTAAAACACAGCAAAATGGATTTGTGAAAGCAAACTGCCTACCTGGCATGGTGCCTATTAGTATAGAACAAATAAATTACATACATTTTTAGGCAATTCTATGATTTGTACTCTGACAAAAATACTACCAGTGGATGTCCTCTTACAGGTTAGGAGTTCACACTGCTGTTAGATTTTCTTTGGTGCTAAAGGAAAGCTAAAGCTTTCTGATTAGAGGGTTCAGGAGAGTAAAAAGACAAACATTTCAGGATATATTTGTCCATCTTTATATAGTCTGCTCATTTTGGCACAAGTAATAGTTGTTTACTCTTAACTGTTCCGAGCTGATGGATGTCCTATGACTTCTTTTTGGTTCTGAGACAGCAGACTTCAGAAGGCTTTTATTTCCCGGTTCCTGGATGGAAGGTACCAAGGACTTGTCCAGTTCTCCCTTCTTTTCTTGGCAATCCTGATGCCGCTTTGAATTTGATACCGGAGGGAACTACAATTTAAAAAAAATAATAATAATAAAGGCTACAACTTTATAAACACATTAAAAAGGTGAGGAGAACACAGATATGAACAAAGTAGTACAACAGAAAACAATTACAAAATACTATTCTAGTGTAACTCTACTATACTATATATCACAAAATATGTAAAAATAAGATTATACAGAAATAAGAGCTGCATTATAACAGATAATTTTAATCTCTCCTACAGTACACAGGCAAGCTTCTTACCTTTACATTTTAAATCCAATCTTTCTTGATTTAAATCTTCATTAACTAAGCTTCTGAATCAAAATCACAGATATTAACTCATCACAATATTAAAACACTATTTAAAATGGTATCTTCATCTTATAAAAATGAGAGATGAAGAATTTTGTCTTCTTCTCTCATAAAAATGATGCTCTTTGGTATCTCTTTCTCTGGTCTGTTTCATGGATAAAATTCAGCCAAGACAGGATCAATGGTCTCCACTGGATGAACTCCAACTTTTACTATAAGATTTATCTCTTCAGAAAACAAAACAAAGCTAGGAAACAATACAGATCTTTAATTGTTAAGAATCGGTGATTTCAGTAATCATTATAACAATGATTTATACGTTTTGAAAAGCTAAGCGTTTTGCTTCAGTACAACAACAATTTATTAACTTTCAAAAATACCATACTCTAAATGCTCCTGCTAACACAAATAATATTCAGTACTAGCAGATGAAGTAGTCTGATACTTTTAAACCTTAAAATCACACTCCTAACTGTACAGGGAGAAACCCAAGTGTTTCAGCCCAGGCCATCTCAAAGGGAAATACTGGTTCCTCTGCATTGTGTTCCCTACCTGAATGCAAAATAGTATTTTACCAGGGAAATATGAAACAGCCGGTCTTAAATTACACGTTACTTTATCTCTTAATTTAGACAAACTTTCAATAAAATGTTAGCAAGGGCACTTGATAAGGTATTCACAACACTGTAAGTCTTGAGGGTTGTACTCTTCTTTCCAAGTGTTGCATTTGGTAAAGCAGGTGTGCTACTTATTTTCTCGCCAACCCGTGAAACAAGACTGGAGGGGCTGAAGCAATCAGCTGATACACTTTGGAGACTTAAAAAGGCCCTAGACAACTAGCATCAATGAATTAATTCTGAACATGGCTCTGTTTGGCAGAAAGGAGCAATCCAGGTAAGTGACAACATCTGCATGTTTGTCACCAGTAAAATTCTTACACAGCCAAGCTCCTGGAAAAGTTCCATGCAGAGTCTTACCCTTGTGTGAAGACATATTTATTTTGCTTGCAGAACACAAAGAAACAGACTTCAGAAAAGAAGAAAAAAATTAAAAGAGGAAAAAAGAGAGAGAGGGAAAAAAGACAAAGTGGTACACTTCAGGGAAAAATAATCTAAAGCAGGTCTACATGATGCTTAACTCAAACTGGCAGTTACAGTCATAATTCAGGAGAGCAATCTTGGAGCCATCACTGAGGGCTGTGTGGCATCAGTGGCTGGACAAGCAGTGGTATCCAGAAAGCCAAATGCATATGATATTACTGAGAAGGTGTTGAGAAGACAACAATACATACCATTTTCCTAATATATAAAACCATGGTGCCTCTGCATCTTTAACACTGTACACAGTTCTGGTCTCCACAACTCAAGAAGGACATAGTGGAGTTAGAAAAGGTACAGAGAGTGGCAATTAAAATAATCGAAGTGGTAGAGCACTCATGTATGAGAAGAGATTAAAAAGTCTAGGACTCCAGTTTGGTGAGAAGGTGACTGCGGAGCAATATGACTGAGATTTTATTTAGTAATGAATGTGAGCTGTTCAGCACATTCTGTACTTCTAGAAACAAGGGTCGTCTTATGAACTGAGTGGTACGTCAGTTTAAAACAGAAAAAAAATATTTATTTACTCAGCAAATAGCGCATTTTTGGATCTTGCACCCATGCGCAGCTGCAGAGGCAGATGGTATCAGCATATTCAAAAAGGAATCGGACATATTCGTTAACAACAGGTCCATAATGAATACTAAAAGGATTAGGTTGGGATGCATCTTCTAACAACCCTAAGGACAATTTTGGATGGGAGGAAATAGCCAGGCTTGTATATTCTCCCTAAATAAAATTTCCTGTTGTCACTGTCACAGGGCGTAGTGATCTAGATGATCTCACCCAGTAAGTAATTTCTTACATTCTAGGGTTTTGTCTATTTTGCTATGACTTTCTATTTAGTTGATTTGGAAGGAAACAGGTCTCTTGGGAAGGTATCCTATGTAAGTCTGCTAGGAATGGTGATCAACTGCCAACTTAGTACCAGGAGCAATCATCTACATACAGCAGTGATGCACTTTGGGTATGGAAAGGTTGGGCGGGTTTTTTCCCCATCACTATTTAAAATATTTGTGCCAGGTCCTGTCTTTTATCTTGTGTGGGAGAGAAGGAGGAAGAGAAGGGAAATATAAGCCAATTCCAAGACAGGCATTGCCACAAGTAATTTGTGCATACATGGTCTATACAGTAGAATCCAAAATGCAGCATTTTACCTTTATCTGTGGAAGGACCACTAGGTTTCTTTGAGCGATAGTGATGAATGATGTGGAAGGAGGTATGAAATTATAAGAAATGAAAGAATAGTCCTCCCTGAGAAAGGAACTGCCTGCAGGCAGTGTGCTCAGAAGGAAAAGGAAACTGAAGTCTCCTGCAGCTTGTACTCCATGCCTAGGCTAGCATAAAAAAGAGCAGTAGCACCAGCATCACCAACGCTAACCCCTCAGGGCCCATTTCTGAGAAAGAGTAGTTTTCAATGTTTTTTATAAATCCTATCCTATGACAGTCTGGAAACACTTCCTGACATAGCTCTTCAAAAGAGCCTAGGCTGAAAAGCAAGACCAGACATTTCTGGGTATGCTCAGCAGACAAAGTCTTAGATGCCCACGGAGCCTGGAAGCAAGGATGGCAGTTTCTTATCTCTGGTTAGGGTGGCATGAAGCAGAATTTCTAGAACTTTGATTTTGGCATATAAAGTGTATTTAAGTCCTTTTTTCCATATAGACTCCTCACTTTTAATTCATACAAGAGTATTCAGCTGTAATAAATATGCATTATTTCTCCATATCAAGAGCTCATTCTTTGCTAAGTAGCCTCTTTGAAAGCAGAAACCATCCAATGTAACAATGATGCTTTCAGACTGCAGCACAGCAAGCTACCTTGCGACTGATAAATCTGAGAGCCTTAGAGGTCAGAGCTAATGCAGAATCCTTAGTATTTGCACTATGGTTTTTCCTTCCTTCAGCTGAAACGTCGAGAGGCACTATGAAAGAAAATTCATTATCTTAGGCAATCACCTTAAGAAATCAAATCACTATCCTAAATGTTAAACTGTAGGTTTTAGTATTAATTGGAGCCTTATACATTTGTTGTTTATGAACAATTATTTCCCTTTTTTTTTCTATTCCCCCCCACCCCCCCAAGATGGCATCACAAGATGGCTACCTACATTATGAACATATGTACAAAAAATGGCTGTCTTGTGAAAGATTCCTCCTCAATGCCCCCAAATATTGCTATCTCAAGATTCCAGGTTTTTCTGTCACATTCCTCCTCCCCGCTCCGCCCCATATATACACATACCCCTTACACCTGAAGACAACGAACAGGAGACATTACCTGTTATGGACTTGATATCTAAGGCAAAATGGTTTCTTGCAGTGCACAGTACTTACATGACAACCGCGTGCTGGAGAGTTCACCTTACATCCTAGTATTTATTTTTATTCTTACACTACATTAAATTCTTTCACCAGACATAAGCAATTTTTCTCTGCACTAGGTCACATTCACCATTTCCTAACTCACCCTCAATTCTACTTATCACTTTGTTGTATATTACAACAAAGTAAACTTTACCCGTTTTGCTGGTGTGGAGGTTTTGTTGCCCCCATTCTCTGTTTCAATTTCTGCACCAAATTCCATGTTACTGTTGTTACTTTCTTGTGCTTCACTGGTCTCATCCTGCTGACAGGTAGTAGCAGGGTTATTTGATTCTTCTCCTATACTGCATTCCTCACCAATGTCTAGATTATTATTCCATTCCTTCATTAACTCCAAGACATGGTCTCTCGACAACGTGTTTCACCCTAGATGTAACAGTAAATTTTATTAAATTTTGACTTCAACATATCTAGGAAGTATTATTAAAAACATAACACCAGAGTAATGGCCCTATTTGTTTTAAGCTTTGCACTATAATCCACAGTCAAATAAAAAAAAAATGTTTTCCAAAGGCCGGTCATCTCTTTTGCAAGCACAACCCTGCAAGCACTACTACTGCTACTCTCCTTGCTACAGTCAGGAGGGAAGCGGGTAATGTTTTCCCCAGAACTCCTTCAAATATGGATCCCAAACATTTGCAAAGGAATTTTAGCTCCTTCTACAAAAGCAACATCAAGAAAACCCAAAGAGTTAGAGAATTTCTCTGAGATTTTCCACTGCCCCTGCTTCTCCCTGTTACTGTATCCATCAGTATTTCTTTACATTACTGAGCAAATGAAGGTGCCTACACAACACTCCCATTTTATTTAGCCTAATCAGGAATGGGTAGTGCAACAATTTATGGGTCCAGAAGGAACAATTTTTCTTAGACTGCTCAGTCTTCTGTCCTCTCAGCTCACACTGAATGATCTGAAATAATTTTGGTTTGACTCCTTTGGCCATTCAGTAAAGCTGGCAGTTATGTATCTGAAGGTTTGGAGAGAAAGGCAAGTGTGTATTATATGCAAAGTTGATACACAACTCTGAAAATTAGAGTTGTCCTGTTACTTATTTTTAAGGGATAATATTTTGCATTAATACTACCAACCTTCTGATGCTCTTAGAGCACTTCACTAAAACCAGGGATCCTTTTTTCTAATATTAATTAGTGATATATAGTTACTAGGTAGTTTTTTATCTGCACTGTACAGACCAGTAAAATGCAACACAGAAAATGTAATTATAAT